ACTTGTCCAGTTCACATAAAACCGAGAGAGGACAAAATATCGAAACGACTTAAGTTATTTGCTATTATCCAATTATCCAAGTTCCTACTGCTACTTATGGGAAGCCTGACCTGTCCTAACCTTGTTCTTCTCTACCTACGACCCTGAGTGTACGCTTCTAGGTCTGTCTGTTAAAAGTCTGGTTATCTTCCCTGCGTTCTCTGGTTTCTTTTTTCGGACTTTAGTGGTCTTTTCATAGTGAGACTGTATCATTATTCTATTTATGCATTGCACTCCAATTCGTGCAAGGATACACTGTTTGAACCTATTCTGAATGTCCTATGGTATGCCTTGGATTTGTGCGGCATCATACTTGGTTAATCACTAACTTTTACGATAATAATGTATGTCCTTCCCTTACATAATCGATTTCATCTGTGCATTGACACAAGTCTTTCGGGAATTTCTAAGGCATTGGTCACTCACCGCATGCAGGTTCTTTTTGTTTCCCTTTAGATGCGTTTTTATTGCTTCCCCGCTCTGCTGGCATTCATCCTTTTAGCTAGAGGTAATGTCTCAATTCAAATTATACTTCGACTTTAAAGAGAATGTGTGCGCTGACGAGGTATCTGTGCTTGAATTGGACTCAAGGTATGCTGTTCCTTTGCATTCCTTTTCTAACCTCCATTTTCCAGTTCCTTTACCAAAGTCATTTCTTCTTCGGGTGGAGCTCTTGTAAAGGTAATCGGCACTTTGAGGGCTTTAATCCAGTAATTAGTTTTACGCTCCGTGGTGCGGCTACTGTCGCCAATTTGAGGGGCCTTACTCAGAGGCGGCGCGTGCATTGGCAGATGCCGTTCCAGACCTTATTGTTGCACGGATTGATGGCACTCGTTTTCCTGCCGAAACTTCCTTCGCCGGCGTCAAGGGATATCCTACAGTCCTTTTGTAAATCAATCTATGTTCCTGTCCACCTTTCTCTTCTTCCATTTGTTCGATCGACCGCTAAGCGCTCCTACCTTTCATTAGCTTCAAGGGCGCCAAATCCTATCCATTCAATGGTGAGCGCTCAGTCAAAGGCATCATGTCCTTTGTAGAAAGTGTTATCGGGTAGGTTGCTAAATTAGTTTTGAGGTTGCAATCTGTCACCATAAAGACCTCCTGTTGACTCGCTGGTAGATGAAGATGCATTGGAGAAGAAGGTGGAGGAGCTTCTTGATGGGGTCTTTTTTCTTTATCGCGGTGACAAATTCAGTAGTCTGTGGGTATGCTTACATCTTTGCAGGTATCTTACATCACCTAGATTGCCTTCAATGCTACAGCTGAGGAGTATAGACTTCAATTACCTTTCTATCATCTTGATGATGGAACTTCAAATAATGCCGGAGACATTTTTGTTTACAAGGATGGAGATAAAAGGCGCTTCCTGCTGAGGGAAGATGGTTAGCATTGACTCTGTCGGTCTTTTTTTCCCATACGCTAAAGTAGCCATTTCATTGTCAAATATTTCAGGTGATATGATGTCTCAAATGAAGGAGTTTGTTGAGGAGAATCGTCAGCCGGCTTTCGGCCATCTTACTGCTTCTGATCTCAAGCAAATGAGCGGTGAACCGAATTTGATAGTCTGCGTCTTCTTAGTAGATTATATGTTGGATTTCACGAAGGAGTAAGTTCACTTTCTGATTGTTAGGAGAATTTCATTACTGATTAACTTATGCATTTGTTTGTTTCAGTTTTAAATGCATTGGGCGAGATCTTGCTTTCAACAACCCAGGTGACTCGTTGGCTCTGTAAGTGTGTTTTGATTTATGGAAATGGTCGTTCTGATACTTCGGTCATGACCGAACAGTCTAACCATCATCTTTCGTCTTTGGTAGACTTGTCCATTGATTTGGTGGGTGTTTTGGTGGAGTAGTCTTAATATGGAAATCCGTAGTTGTGAGTTTCTAGTCTACTTATTTTAAACCTTAAATCTGCACTATTTTATGACCCCAGAGACTCGCTGCAGCTGTTGTACCACCATGTATAGCATCGCTGCGGTACCTATTGTAAATAAGACTGAAGGAACAAACAAGTTAACAACCAACACCGGTTCGATGGGTGCCATAGTTCTAGATAAGTGTTGAGTAGTTTTCATTTGTATGCGCATTAGCTACAAATTTGCGTGGTCGGCGGATACTCGAGGCTTCAGCAGCCTGGCCATGACGAGTCTGGAGCCGCCTAACCTCCTACTCTACTCCCCAGTGAATAAGACCTTCATGCTTCATCCGCTGTGTTCTACCCCGGAAGCCATTTCCGCTCTTAACAAACAACAAATTACGGCCTTCTTGGTAGATGGAGTCAATGGGAAACTTCCGGTGGGTTATTTTGATATCGGTGCCTTTAAATTCCTCTCCTGACAAATCTACCTATTTATTATCGCAACACGATATCTTATTTCTCAACGGCCTCAGAACTTTAAATGCCAACATGGAATTGCGGAACCCACAGTCATCTGCGAAGTTGTAACAAATCACCTAGCGTTGGAGGGCTGTGGAACTACGGGGAGTAAAGAAATCGCATCCTGTATCTGATGAGCGCTCATGGCGATCCTCGAATCTTC